GGGCCCTGCTGCTCAGAGCTGGCGTACTAAGCTAGCTCTTAACCAACACGCCACTTGGCCGGCCCCATCACTTCCTTCTAAGGCTAGGGCATACTTTTCCATGGAATCCCTTTCTCTGTGTTAGCACAAGTTAGAGGAATTTTCTTATTAAGAGAAACTAGAGTGAAATTAGGGAAGGGGAAGTGATGTGATAGCCACTAGGGCAGGTCAGAAAATTGGTAACCTGTCTGACGTGCAGTTCTAGGGAAAGGAGAAGGAAGCTCATTGAAAGTGACCGTGGCTCTGTGGCTTCTTTCACATCCTCCTTAGCCTGTGCTTCAGCCGCCATCATTTGTAATTCTTTTTCCAGTCCTCAAGCTCTAGGTTTACCTATTTTTGTTTCCCTTGTTACTGACAGAATTATATAAGCTCAAATCCTTATACATAACCCCTTATTCCGGTAGTGCTGTTTTCCTAACCAAACTCAAGACTAAAATAGTCCCCGAAATTAGCAAAGGGGAGGGGCCAGAAATAATACTAGGCAAAAATAATGACTATCCATACTATATAGCAGATAAGTTTAGATCCAGGAAAATTAAAATCTCAGGAACATTACAAATTAAGAAGAAAATTAATTTCTATGATTGACTATTAGATCGCCTTTTCCTGATATGAAGAAATTCTCAGTATTTTGATAATATTAGTTTAAACCATCTGAAAATACTGTTTTCATAGATCAAAATGGTTAAATGTTGATAATTCCGTGTGGCTCAACCTAAGAGCTTACATCAATTAGGGAGAAATACTTATTTTGAAAAAGTAGCGGTAGATGAACATTTCTTCCTAGACAGCACTCACGATGGAAATAAGCACACTGGGAAAGGTGCACAAAAGTTCTGAGGAGTGCGCTTGACTGGGACATTAGTGACCTTAGAATGCAAAGGGGCAATAAGAACCAGGGGAAACGTTTGGAAACTAAAGGCTTTCCCAAAGTAAAACTGCTTTTTGCTGTCAAGCCTGAATGCTTTCCTACAATATATGAGCATCATCACACGATTTTGGAAGTAATTGCATTTAATGCTGATATTTTTTTTTTTTGGCTCAGAAAAACTGTGCTGAGTAAGACTTCCATCTTTTCAGCCACTAAGGGAATAACACTATAATGGGTTCTGAATTGAATTAATGTATGTCTAGCCCATGCATATATTTAGGGAAGAATAAAGGGTTTGGCTTCCAAATGATATGCTCTAATATATACATATGTTTTTTTTCAAATTGGGGAACAGTGTGTTTTTCCAGGACCCATCAGCTCCAAGTCAAGTAGTTGTTTCAATCTATTTGTGGAGGGCGCAACTCAGTGGCCCATGTGGGGATCGAACCAGCAACGTTGGTATTATGAGCAATGCGCTCTAACCAACTCAGCTAGCTCACCGGCTGCCTCTCTAGTATAGTTTTTATCATCTATTTAACAAGGCATTAAAGGACACTTATGTTACAGCGCTTGGTGATTGTTCTATTAAAATACAAGAAATGAAAAAAAAATTCAGCATGTAAAGAATGATCTTCATTATGTAAAAAAACAACAAAAAACACTGCAGAGTTGGGACTGTAAAGAGACAGTGCAAAATATCACTGTTACTCCTGGGTGATTTTTATTTTATTTTGCTTTTTCAAACTTGCTACAAATGGCTTCTACTATTATAAAAAAAATACTTAAAAAAAACCATAGCTACTGTGAAAAGTCCAGAATGAAATTAGAGGAAGATGTTTGCAATTATCTTTGGGAGATGAGACTACATGTTTTTTCCTTCTTATTCATATTTCTTAAATTTCTTACATGAATGTCTTATGTTTAAAATTAGGGGTGAAAAATCATAGGCCAATGAATAAATTAAATAACTCAAATGTAAGCTTGTATTCTCGCTAACTCTTTTGTATTAGATTCCAAATTCTAGCTCATATTCAACATAAAATGTCAGACTTTATGCCTATGCCATTCTTTTTGAAGGAATTATATCCACTCCACTTGCTCCTTCCACTTATTATAAGACAGGCCTTTTCCTGTCATTACATGTTCCTTTGTGACCTAGTTGAGAACCTGGGGTCTGAGACGGTCAAAATCTACTGGAAACAATGGGAATCCTCTTGGGGCAGTCTCTGAAGTGACTAAGATAGAAATAGTTTGTCTAGCCTGGTTTATAAGGGATGCATACTTTGTTTCAGAATACTCCCACTTACCCAATGTTTTGTAGTCATCTCTAGCTTTGTTTGCTCTCAGTAGCGACTGGATTTTCACAATTTCATTTTTCTGCAAAAGAATGAGACCAGTCGTGATTTTCCAGAGTCCCATCTACACCACTGTTTTAGAATTCTGAACGACTTAAGAACTGACAATATTTAAGAATGGACACTATTTAGAAATGACAGTATTTAGTTGTGGTGTATGTAATGTTTATTTTTCCATTTTCTTTGAAGAAAGGACCAGATAAATTAGCTAAAAGTATAAACAAGATTGTATGGCGATTGTTTAAAGAAAGAGCTCTAAAAAGGGAAAAGAATTTTTCCACCAAACTTCAGGTGATCCAATCTATGTTCACATATCTCTTCTTCAAAGATCCTGAAAAAATTCCTCCTGTGGGCTTCCATTTAAATTAATTGGTTAGCAAGTAATGTTGGAAAATACTCCTTTGAAATTGTTTCTCTTTGCTAATCATTTCCGCTCACCCATTTTTCCTATCCCGTCTGACTGGTTGAAGTCTCCCTCTGAACATGAGTTCTGAATAAACAAAATGTAAGCCTCCAAATATTATCACATTGCGTTCTAAGACCTATTTTTTTCCTCATGGTGTTCATTTTCACCATTTGATAAGAATCATTCAGTGCTAACATTTAACTAAGCATTCATTTAGTTCATTCTCAGCCAGGATAAAAATCCATGTGCACGTCTCTTACATGATCTCTGAAATACTGCAGTCGTGAAAGGTAATTCTTCCGTGCTGTTATCATTCGGAACCAGGACTGAATCTAAAAATAAGTTAAGTAGAGAAATCAAGCAATTAACAAACAACTTTGATATCTTTTTATGCATCTTTCTAAAAATATTAATATTTTATTTGATAAAAAAGTAAAAATTAGCAGTCTTCCAAATAATAAACATCTAAAGCCTAATCTTCATCTACTTCTTTCGTTGCTTTTTCTCTTAAGGGGTTCAAAACATCTTATACTGTATGGTGGAGAAGGTAATGTAGCTTTGTACTATTTTGCTTTAATCCCAATAAATAAAATCCAAGAGGGCAAGGCATTTTCCTGAAAGTTGCAATGGGTCTAGCAATCAAATGAAACCAAATACAGGGTTTCTTCCAGCATCCCTTCAATGCATCCAATATACTTCAGGTCTTTACAGAAAACATCCAAAGAGGTTTCACAAGGTATCAACTGCCAGTTTTCTGAGAGAACAGGCGTGTGTTCTATGGTGAGCCCAGGACAACATTAAGGAGCTAATGTACAACGGATCTAGACCACGTCAATCTCTGTCTTCACAGTTTAAAAGGTCTTTTAAACTAATCTCATCTGATTCCATTCTCTCTCCAGGCCCACTATTCTGACTCTCATCTGGATTTCCAAGTTGTTTCCAGAAGTTGCACTTCTGTCCAGTCCTTCAGTTTTCAGCTCTGAGAGAGTGGGCATCATAGTGCCTTTTCTTTCTCTAAGCTCAAAGCAATCAGCTTGGGTGGAAAGCTGGATTGCACTGGCTCACCACCCAAATTCAGGTCCTAACTTTTGCATTTGGCTTACAATTAAGGTTCTGTACTGTTAAATATGAATACTCTAAATATTATTAGTGAACATGGCAAGAGGAACATGAAATAAAATTGGGTTTCCCCCAGACTTTAAGTAATCAATTTGGACTTTCTAGAGAAAGAGTGATGCTGGTTACTAAGCACTTTCACCTTTGATTTTCAGAACCACATAAAGGACCTGAGCCAGTGATAGTGTTTAACGGACTTGCTTGTAGATACATGATCAGCTAAGTGAGTAGTGAAGGTGGGGACTCAAACCCAGGACTTGCTTCTGATTTCAATGTTCATACCTACTTTTTTTTTTATTGTTAGTTTCAGGTGTACAGTACAATGCAATAGTTACCCTTTTCACCCTCACAAAGTAACAACCCCCCTCTCCCCCTGTATTGCCCTCCCCCGCCCGATATCATGCTTATCTATTACAATTCCATAGACTCCATTCCCACTCTCTACTCCATGTCCCATGACTATATGTATATATCATTATAGTTGATATACAATATTATTCAACATCAGCTTCAGAAATACAGTGCGGTGGTCAGGCCTCTATACCGTCTATGAAGTAGTCTCCCTAACAAGACATGAGTCCATCTGGTCCCCTAAGAAATATTTACAACATTATTGATTATATTCCCCAGACTGTCTTTTTCCTTCCGTGAGGCCGTATTGTAATTACCAATTTGTATTGTCTCATCCCTTCCCCTTCTTCTTCATCCCCACCCCCCCCAAATAACAACCCTCAGTTTTTCCTGTGTCTCTGAGACTATCTCCATCCACATCTTCCATCCATTCAGTTCCTTAGAATCCAGGTATAAGTGAGATCATATGATATTTGTCTTTCTCTGACTGACTTATTTCACTTAGCATAATGTTCATACCTACTCTTTCCATAGTCTGTCTTCCAAAAGCAAAACTAAAAGGAAGGGAAGTTTCAGTCAAGCACTTGATAAGGCGGGAAAGGATGTTTACCTTCACAATAGAAGGAATGTGATCAATGAATGTTTGTCGCCTGTCGATATATGCTATCCGTTGTTTATGTCCCTTCCAAAAAGCCTGTGGGAAATAGTGAGTTACAGAATTAATGATGCGCAACAAGTTTTTCGGTTTATTTTGGAAAGTGCAAGAACAGAGACTATCTGAAGAGACACTGTGTTGGAATGCTGTCAGGGACCCTCCCCCGCAAATCTCATCTGACACAATCTCTGGGGTGGACGTTAAACTGAGCAGGGAGCATGAGCTCACACCTGAGACTTGTCCCAACCTTGGGCAAACAGAGTTACCAGATAGAGTTACCCAATTTCCCGATCAAAAGCTTCATTTTACCAAGACCCTGGATAACGAGAAGGAACAATAAAGTGGAATTGCCCCAAAACATACAAACAGATGAACTGGGTGCTGGTATTATTTGGTAACAACATAACATGCTTCAAAATAATGACCAGTAAGTATCTTGACTCCAACAAGTAGCCCACTGTGGCCCAGACTAGAAAGAAAGATGCTTTACCAACTTGTGACTCACAATCCCTAAAAATAGGAGTGCTGTGATTGAACATTAATGATTACATCAATTTCTATAGCAAGTTTAATGATGCTCCATCTATAGCTTTACTAGGTTATTATCATTAAAGAGAATTTTTATAGGAAACATTAAAAAAAACTGGACAAAAACTGGGATCTTTAGAAGGATTAAACCCATAACTGTTATAAGTTCATTCCAGTTCATTTATGAGTAGCTTTTTTTGGATACCTTTGTAACTTACCCCGATTCTTTGATTTTGCTTTTCAAATTAGAAATGAAATACAAGTTTCTTGTTAAAGAGACAAATACAAAAATTATCTAGGGCCGGCTGAGTGGCTCAGTTGGTTAAGAGCTCGCTCAAGAGTTTGAGCTCTGAGCAACAGCGGTTCAAGTCAGCCCGAGCTGAGCAGCCGTGAGCTGCCAACAGGTGGCGGGATGGCTCAGCTAAAAAACAAAAACAAAAACAAAAACAAAAACAAAAACAAAAACAATCTTATTTTTATAAATTTCTTTTCATGTTTCACATATCAACCTACTTTATTCTTTAAAAACTGTATGTGGAATTTTATTATTATTTTAAAAATAATATGCTTTTTTGGTAATAATTCAAAACAAAATAGTCAGGATAAATTAAAAGTGATCAACTGAGCACTTGCTCCAGACTTCCCCTCTCAGTGCAAATCCCTGGAAATGACAAGTAGGCTTTTCACAAAGAACTTTTAATTTTGAAATAATTACAGACTCACAAAGCTGCAAAAACAATACATTGAGTTCTATGAACCATGTGAGTCCATTTACCAGCTTCCCTCAATCGTAACATCTTATAAATATGCTTTTCAAGCAATCTACAGTAGTGCTGGAAAATGAGAAGGCATATGGATCAAGAACTATGAGGGATCCTGGAAGAGAGCATACCGCCAGAATTGGATTGAAAGAGGGAACCGCAGAACAAAATTCTACAAAAATGTGGGAATATCTTACCAAACACGTTGGGTGGTTCCAAGCTTGAGGGAGCCTTGAGCAGTAGTCAGAATAATTTTGGGAAACTTGTAACCTTATCCACTTGCCAATCAGTGGACAAAAAAGCATAGACGGAGGAGTGGGGTTGGGAAAAGTAGAAAAGAGTATAGAGCCTTTCTGGAGAGAATTTAGCAATATGAAATTTAAAATTATTTAGCCTTTCACCTAGTGTTTCTAATTTTCAATCTATCTAGCCTAAGGAAACACAAGTACCTGTGTAGAAAAACTATATATAAGAATTTTTGTTGTATTGTTCGTAAAAAACAAATATGTGTATAGAGCAGAATGTTTACAAATAGGGGAACAGTTAGATAAATTGTGATTGCACTCAGACTGAGGGATGTCACATGACCATTAAGAAGAATGAGGTAGAGTCACATATATTGACTGTGGGAATGGTCTGTATCTTGAGGAATAGAAGATCTCCAAAATACACTAAATGAGGAAATTGTAGCTTACTGCACATCCTATGACACAGCATGCTGACAAAAAACAAAAAAACAAACAAAAAACAAACATAAAATAATGTATATTTCTATGCAAACAATCTGTATTCAAAGCCTAGAAGATGATCTATTAGGATATACAACAAACAGAGAGAAAGGGTATAAAGTAAAATATGCCTATGCACCTATCCTTACTTCAACTCAGCTATTCTTCAAAGGATTGCCTAATTTTTTGCTATGTACACTTTGAAGCAGGCAAAACATAAATGCCTATATACTTTATTGTTGTATACAAAAGATAAACATATAAATATGTCTATGTGTTTATGCATCCTTTACTTTTGAAAACATGGGATCCAATCTTATGCTAAGGTTTGCTTTTTTCCCCTCTAAATTAAATGTAGCATTGATATTATTTTATATAAAAATAACTCGGACCCTCCCTATGGATTTTAGTGATCACACGGTAGTCTGTAGTATAGATTTACTATGACTTAATTTCTCTGCTGGTGTGCATTAAATTGTCATAATTTTTTTTTTGCAGTAAACAACCTTGCACACACCTTATTATGTATTTTGCATGAATGTTTCCATCAAGATAGATCAATAGATATAGAATGACTGGGTCAATCAATAATTGACATTTAAAATTAATATTTACTGTCAAGTTGTCCTTCAAAGACTGTATGAGAGATACCTCTTTTCCAAGGGTCTCACTGAACTGGTAAAAAGAAGACTGATGATATCCAACTGACTGATGAAAACTGCTGTCTCATTTTTACTTATATTTTGATCTCCAGCAAGGTGTAGAAAGCTTACCTTCCTTCACATATCCTTACTCTCTTTATAATACAATTGTCTTAACTATTTCCTCTACATACATGTAGAACTACATTGGACAGTGTTATAATTTTTGCTTCAACTGTCAAACATAATTTTAAAAATACAAGAAGAAAATAGAAATGTAATTACCCATATTTTTACTCTTTCAGTTGTACTTTTTTCTTTCCTGGTGTTCCAAAATTCCTTCACTTATCATTTCCTTTTTTTGTTTAGAGAACTTCCTTACATATTCTTATAGGGCAGGTACGCTGGTGATAAGTTCTGTTAGTTTTCCCTCATCTGAGAACACCTTGATTTCCCCTTCATTTCTAAAGGATGTTTTTTGCTGGATAAAGAATTCTATGTTGACAACTCTTTCCTTTCAGCACTTGAAAAATGCTGTGATTCTTTCTCCTGGTCTCCATAGGTTCTTATAAAAAAATCTGTCATAAGAAGTGCTTTCCCCCTATAGATAAGCTGCCATTTCTATCTCATTGCTTTTGAGATTTTTTTCAGTCTTGTATTTTCAGAAGTTTGACTGTGATGCATCTTTGTGTGCATTTCTTTGAGTTTATCCTGTTTGGGGTTTGTGCAGCTTTTTGAATCTGTAGTTTTATGTGCTTGGCTATCCTTTGGGACTTTTCAGCCATTATTTCTTCAAGTACTTTTTCAGTACTGCTCCTTTCTCTTCTCCTCTGGGGACTTTGATGACACAAATGTTAAATCTTTTGTTAGAGTCCCACAAATAGCCTTGGGTTCTGTTCATTATTTTTTCAATCTTTTCTCTGTTATTCAGATCTGGTAATTTCTTTCATTCTGTCCTCCAGTTCACCACTTCAGTCCTGTGCTCCCTCTATTTTGCTGTTAAGTCCACCCATTGAGTTTTTGACAACTGTCATTCTATATCTCAGTTCAAAAATTTGTTTGGTTTTTCTTTATATTTTGTTTCCTTGTAGATTACAGAATTTAAAAAAAACAGAGGTGTGAAAAACAGTTATAATTATAACAGCCACCTAAAAAAACTATTAAAACTTCCAGATGACTAGTTATAAAATGAATATGTAAACTTGATAAATTTTCTTTATGTCAATAATAAACTACATAATAGAATGAAGATGAAATTCACAATACCAAAAAAATTAAATAACACTGAATATGAAGGTATAAAATTCTAATCCTGTACTGTAGGACAGATTAATAAATGGAGAGATATACTGGTGTCTGAACTGGAAAATTCATTATCGCAAAGATGCAAATCTCCTCAAACTAAAACTTCAATGCAATCATAATAGAAAATTCAGAATGGGTTCAGAACTTGATCAAATTCCTTGGCACTAGCTATCGAAGTGAGCGCATGGTTTTTATCCTTTAAGCTATTATGGTGATAAAGAATTATGCGGGAAAATAAATTATCTGAGGGTTTAAAACTGGAGTGAGCTTCACAGTGCTTCTCAAACTTTAATGTGCATACAAAATCATTTGAGGGTCTTAAAAATGCAGATTAGGACTCAGTTGGTCTGGGTGGAGCTTCTAGGCAATGCCAGTGCTGGTGTATGGTCCATACTTTTGAGTAATAAAGACATAAACAAAGCCAAATAAGTTTTAATTGTTCATTGATTTAGAAAAAGCCACTGTGGGATTTGTCAGTGTGGCATTTCTGAGACATGGGAGAAATTGTTCTCTGATGCTACCAATAATTGCAGGTCACTGGGTTCCATGGCAACCTAACTAGTAACATATTTGTTGTGATGAGTCTCAAGGGCGGTTCATAAGTATTTGTGGGTAACACTATTTCAAAGCACAGAAGTGCAAATATATATTATAAATCCTATTCCTTCATCCAAATTGAAAGGCAAATAAGATATTGGGATTAGCTCAAGTTCTCATTCTGCTTTTCTGGAATTATTTAAACTCAAGAAACACTATTAATCTCTACTAGCTCAGATTCACAAACAGTCTGGAGAGGTAATCTGTCATCACAGATGATCTAATATTGAAGCATTCTTGCACTGGTGGAATAAGCACACATGTCCACTCTGTACTTTTAAGGTACTAAGAATTCAATGCTCACCAACAGTATTTTCCTTGAGATTTCATTTTGTGTTTCATCTCTTTGTTGATTATGTAGATTTTTCTGGAATCCTTCTATGTTTACGAATATTTTATTATTACCTTTCTACACCAGGGCAAGTTGGCTGGGTATAGAATTTTTGGTGTACAGAAGCAGAATTACATGCTTCTTATTT